CCATTCTCTTCCCTTATAAATACATGAACTATCCCATTCAATTTTCCAAGCTTGGATAGCCAAAATCACCCTGCCAAACTTGCTCCATAACTCAATTTTATGTAACTTCAATTTTTCCATCCAATTTTTCAATCCAATTTTTCCATCAATTCACCTTCCTTGATCTTCCCTGAAGCTAACCATATAATTACATTCAAGAATCGTTCCCTATACTGCTCCATAGAAGTCCAGTTTCAGAGCTCTGCAACTCAACTTCAATAGGTAGATTCCTTCATCAATTCTTCAAAACTCTGATATCATTTTGTTGTTCTCATTGCCATGGTTCTAGTCGCAACACTTACCTTTTACTGGAAACGCGTTTTGACCATGAAATTTCAAATTCCTTTTCAAAACTTTCCTTCTAAATTTCTTGAGCTACAGTTTATATAAATTTGGCGCGAGGGTGTGGTTGTCTTCGTCTTGAAGAGACGAAGCGAATGGCATAGGTCTGAGCTTTTGATTTTACAATTTGAGAGACCTGTAATTCGTGATGGCTGGAGGTTGAAAATGACCAACGTGTCATCTTCTAACCAATGAAGGCGTGCCATCTGTATTTTTCAAATTCTAATTTAATTAATGATTATGTATAATATTCACTAATGACCATGATATGCACAGCGTGCCAGATCCTTTGGATTTGATTACTAACGCGTTTTGGCTTTCATCCAATGATCCACATATTTTACTTTTATTTTCTTTTTTCTGATTTTTATATTTTAATTGTTTTAAATTTCAAAAAATCATAGAAAACTCATTTTTAGTCCAAAAAATCTGAAAAAAATCTGAAAAATATTTTTGATTATTCTCTTTGTGATTTTTATTTTTTCACAATTTAATTTTGTGTTTTGGTATTTTTTACAAATTTTACACTTATTTGATTTGTTTTAAATGTTTAAAAATACTTTTATACATTTTTAAATTCTGAAAAAAATTATGGAATGATCCAATGATATTGTGACAAATATTGGTGACCTTATGTTATTTTGGTTTCTGACTTTACTATTTTTTACAATTTTTTGTTTATTTTACCCATTTATTTTAATTTTAAAAATAGTTTCTGACTTTAAAAAATTACCAAAAAAAATTGTAAAATTACTTGGGCCTTTTTCTGATTTTTCAATGTCTTACTTTTCATTTCTTGATTAATTTGAACATAGTTGATATTTTTCTCATTATTTTCTATTTTTTTTAAAAAATTAAAAATCCTTTTTTGTGTATATTAAATGTGATATTATTTTGTGATTATTTTCTGGCTGATCTTGGGTTAGATTTTCGATGATGAACTTTATTAACATCATTAGATCCATGGTGTTGAGTTTAACTCCACAAAAATGGATGAATGATTTTAATAATAGTTTGATTAAAATTTAATTCAAATATGGTTTGTTTATTTTTCCCATACCTCTTCATCTCATCCCTTTCTTATTGCACTAGATGTTGTTGGAGCATGATCTCTATATCATGTTTCAAAACAAATGGTGCATAGATTGCTATTGAGCGGCCTTAAAATATGTGCGACTTCTATATAAGTCCACTTACGATTGCTTAACATAGCGCTAAATTTTGTCCCGATTCGAATAAATGATCATTCGTGGTCGAAACATATGATTGCAAGCCCTAGTATGTTAATTTGATATCTTTGATCCAATAACCTTGAGATTCATTTTGTGGAGGCTTTGGTTCTATCAATCCTCTAATGGATCTACAACACCTTTGGTCAACGCGGATCACTTAAACATCGTTGATCATTAAATGGTACTTATGAGAATTCCAAATGGATGATATACTTGACAAAAAGCAAATGCAACTTGTTGTGTGGAGGCTTTGGTTCTACCAATCCTCTAATGAGTTCCAAATGCAAGCTTCAAGATGGTCATCCAACTAACCACTAATTATTGACTTGTTTACCTTATACTTTTTTTTATGCTTTATGTACTATTTACTTTTAGCATTTACGTTTCATGCCATTTTCGTCTTTGCTCATTTGAGCATTTATTTTCTTGCCATTTTTACTTTGCTCACTTGAGCTTTTCTTTTTCTTTCTTAAGACACTTAATAATCAACATAAACCCTAAAGAATCTTTAATGGTTCTTGGACTATTTGGTTACTATCCTTTGCATTATGGAGCATGGGACTTTTCTTGGACTTAGGATTAGAAACCTTGACCTATCTTGGAGATCTTATCTGATTATTTTGTCTGGAGTTCTTGAGGTTTACCTCAAGACATTGGGTTGCTTGTTTGTTTTTATGTGCAGGTTTTTTTGATTACACCCTTTGTTTATAATCTGGAATTCACCCGTATACAGTCGTTACTCTGCCCTATTTTTTGTGAAGACTTAATACACTTGAAGTTTGGTTCTCTCAAGAGGTCTAGTATTTCTTTGCTTTATTGGTTTAAATACAAGGAATGGGAATTCTATCTTGGCTCATAATGTCAAGTATTTGTTTCTTGTTGGTTAGATGGTTCTTAAACCTATCTTTTACCTTATGCATTAGGATAGTCCCTTCTTCTCCTCCCATCTTCTTTAATTTCAAAAATCTTCTTTCCCTTTTTGAAAACTCTTCTTGTTTTTGAACTTGAACCACTTTCATAATAAACTTTGACTTATGTCCATGCATTTTCAAAACTTTTTTTATAAATAAACTCCAATCAACTTAATAATGCCTTTACATTTTTGTGATAAGACTAAAATTCAATCAATCTAATTTCAAACCATTTTGCCACTTTGGCTTTTATCTTTAAACTTTTCTCAAAAAAAGTTGAACTCTTGTCAATCCTTGTAGTGATGCAAACAACTATACTTCTACAATATGTAGTAAAGAGAGATATTTTCCACTTGGGTGTTGAGTGAGGCATTGTTGAATTTTAAATCCAAGCCATATCCTTCACTTTGAGATGATGCAAATTCTCCTTTCTCATGATTGTGGGTAGTAGGTATGTTTTCCATACGGACAATGACAATGATGTTCCATCTCATAAAATTAACCAACGCATTTGTGTTTTAAATTTTTAAAAGAGGAACTACGCGTACCCTGATCCCCTATTGCACGAAAAGGTGGTATGTAGGCACTAAAGGTTCGCAACCGCGGCGGGTGCAAAAATTGTAAAAATAAATATATTACTTTCCTCACCTCCACCATCCATTTTTTTTATATATACAACATTTTTTATAGCCAAAATATACAGATTTTACAAAGAGGCTCCTACGGAGTACCGTAGATGTTTAGGGTGTTAATATCTTCCCTTTGCATAACCAACCCCTTTACCTTGAATCTTTCCCCCTCTTTTTGGGTTATTCGCTCTTTTCTCATTCCTTTGGAAACAATAAATCATGGTGGCAATTTTTATTTTGATTTGTATAAAGTCTAGTCAATCCAATGGCTTAGTCTTGAACATTTCTACCGCTACACATATGTATCCCGAGATGTCTGAAAAGATCAAAGTTGAGGTCATGAAGCAGTTCAATGCACGACGGTAAGGTGCGTATGTGTATAGACTACAAGGATTTGAATAGGGTGTTTCACCCCAAAATTTGCCCTCCTAATATCTTTTATCTGGCTTAGAGTTTGGCATTCATCTGCATATATTTTGTTAGGTCACTAACAGAGTATACATATACATTCAATAAGGCATTTTAGGTTCAGGGTTCAGTAATCATATAAGCAGGGTTCACATGGTTTTAGGTGCTTGCTTCATACAAGCTTGGTTCTATCGAAGACTTCTTGGTCTTGAATTGGGATTTGATCATATGGTCACTATGAAATTCTTATTCAACTTCATGCGAGGGTTATCTTCACCAAGGCCTCCTTGGTCATGGAGTAGGGTTTATTTTCCTATGCTTGGGTTTATCAGATGAATTTGGCAAGGCTAGTAGTCAAAGGTTCTTCATCAATGACTAGCTAGGGTTTTCTTTCGACCTTTATTTGTAAATCAAAAGGGGGCACTTATTACTTGAGTCACAAGTTATGTGATCGGAAACTTCATGCAAAAGACAAATGTGGATGTACCGATGCCCACTTTACCGTTTGAGCTTTGTTTATCATTGATTCAAATAAATTCTTCCAATTAACTATGATGCTTGAGGATCAAGATGTTACATTGCTTAGGCCATACACGTTATCTCTTTGGTTCTGACACAAGGCTTTGAGGTGAACGTAGTGTATTGGGTAATAGTTGCATCCAAGATTTTGACAATATCTTACTCGAGTTCCCTTGATTAGCTAAGAGTATCTTATCTCATAATGTGTTATATTAAAGGATGCAATTTGAAGCCAAATATGAAATGTTAAAAGAAGCTTTTGGAGGGAAAGAAAGATTCAAGTCCTATTTCATCTCCAAGATACCAAGCATCATAAAACTCATCCGAGAAATATTGAAAAATCCAAATGAAATACAATGTTATGAAATCAAGGTTCAAGATTGCAAATTGGAGAAAATGTTAGATGCTTGAAGATTCATTCAAATTGAAGCATAGTGGAAGGAAAAGGAAATTCAAACTTTATCATTTTTTAAAAGAAGCCATATTCCCCTATATGAGTCAAAATTATACTTCAAATCTAATTTCAATTGTCGTTACTATACTTCAAAGTGTAATTTCAAATAGAAAGAGATTACACTTTTGACCAATTCTACAAAATTTACATTAAGCCTACAATCTAGTCTTCATCCTTCATTTTTTTTACCAAGTCTCTTTTGACTCCATCTTGCACGTCCTTTCTTCAAGCCTTATCCTCCATGGTCCCCGCCCTTGATTCATTCTGCAACCTACACAAAAATATGAGAGAATTAACAAGGATGTTAATTAGCAGACAGTCCATTTATTTAGAATATATGATGGCCACGGTGCTCTTAAGAGATAAATTATTGTAGTGATTGTATACATTTGGCTTTAGCTGAGGAAGTAGAAATGTTCAAAGAAGGTGTAATAATTGGAAGTACAAAGGATAATTGTCAAGATTTATGAAAAGGTTTTCAATAATTGTATTTTTGAAGGTTGATAATGAAGTTGGCGAGAAAGTTAACGGTGAACCTATTGCACCAGGAACTGTTGCTTCCACTGATGTTGTAGCTACTATTATAGTTTCAAACTGTGGTAATTCCAGAGTGGTTTTGTGCTATGTTAAGGAACCAATGCCTTTATCTGTGGATCATAAACCAAATCTAGATGATGAATATGCAAGGATCAAGGTAAGCCAACACATACATCATCATCCATTCAAATTAAAAAGTACGATAAAGAAGAACAAGTCAGGACTAATTTGACTCGAGAGGTGCATGGGTATATCCAGATTCAAGCAAGTACATACTGAACAAAAAATTAGATAGGCTTATTTCAAATTCGACAATATAAAAGAAAATATCAGAAAGCAAAAATAACTAACTGAGTTGAAACAGATTTCTTAACAAACTTTTCACTCCTAACTAACTGTAACAGATAAGTAGTTAACTCCTGTAACTAATTTCCAAATTCTAACAGAAAAATCAACAGAAACTAACTCAAAACGGTGTTCTGTTCAGAAGAGAAAATATTTTTGAACAAAAGCTCAAAATAAAGTGCAAACTGTGGCATTCTAAAAATTAGCAGCCAGTCCATAATGTGAAAACAAAAAGCTCCAGGCAGAGTCATAACAGGACTTCAGAAAAATCAGAATCAATCCTAGCCACTGGAATCTCTAACCAATTCTCGAAATCAACAACTCATGTTCAATATTTTGTAACAAACTTCTAACAAAATATAACAGAAATTTTCAGAGATTGAGGAGGATTGATTCACGATAAAAATACACAAAGAAAATCATAGAAAAATGGCTTGAAGGGTTACCTTTTCAATCCTCTACAAATCACAGAAAATCATCTTCTTCGCATCACATCAACTTTGATCTTCATCATCATCATCAACCCTGAACCTGCAAGAATATTCAACATCATCTTCATCTTTCTACTTTCTGCTTCAGTCATCAATAACGTCGTTACTGAGTTCAGTCAACCTGCAGCATCACCATCATAGCAATTTCGGCTTCAATCTATTACAACAACATCGCAATTTTTTTCATCACAAAACAAGCAAGAAAAGGTTCTGAAGTAGAAGAGAGAAGAAGTGGAGCAAGAATCAGATGAAGGTGAATCTTGGGAGTTTACCTCAGAACACTCGCTGGAGTTCGTCATAACCTCGTCGGAATCGCCGTCGTAAATAGGTTTTCTTCACTTTGATTCTGATATCTGCTATTGGAGGTTTTATATGTGAAATAGATGGAGGATTCGAGGTTGGAGAGGGATTTTAAACTAGGTTTGTGGGTTGAGAAAGTGAGGACGGAGGCGTCTTTTCGCCGGATGCGCTCCGGTAACATAGATGAAAAAGAGAAAAAAGGAAATGTATGGTTGTAAGGTTATGGCGGCGGTGTCGAATGGAGATGTGAACCGCAGTGCGATGTAGGTATCACGATGGCTGAATGAGGAAGATGAAACCACGAAGGAGATGATGAATTTGAGTGAAGCCACGCCACCGCTGGTGTGAGAGGAATAAAGAAGAAAAAGTGTCATTGTGCTTTTGTTTGAAGAAGAAGAGCTAATTCTCTCTTGAAGTTATGCCTGTGAACCCTATTCTTTCGACCAAACAACATTGTATCTTTTCCTTTTATTATTTTTAAAATTTATTAAATATAATTGAAATAATTTACTGATGAATGGTTTGTGTTGCTGGTAATGTCTGGGCTGAACCGAATTTCCCATAGGCCCATACCTTGTGCTTTTTGTTACACCTTTTTCTTGCAAAAACTACTTATGGATCTAGCTTTGCACTCTATTGAAGCTTCACTTTCTATATTTATTTCAATTTAATTGTATAATTGTCGTGATTGATTTTTTTAATTGATTGTGTAAAAATTGTTGATGTTTTTTCAAGAAGTTTCGAAGCTAGTTAAGAGCATAATTTTCATCAAGGAAACTCAAGGAGGCTTTTAGTTGGTTTTTCTCATTGCCTGCATGGCTTTGAAGAGGAAACAGACATTCTCTGTTAGATTTGAGTCTTATGCAGGTTTATGGTGCGAGATACGGATGCACTTGATATTTTGATTTTGATTTATTTTCACATCGATGATGTTTCGACGCTTATTCCAGGCATTTGATTTCTGACTCTTTTCTCTAATTGGTGAAGCTTTCGCGAAGATCGTCGGGTTTCTCTATTTTGATACGCTTTGCTATGGATTAATATTCGTTTGGTATTTTCTCTTGTTTATCTAATTTCTCACTTTACTTCTTTCTAGATATCATGAGAAGTAGGAAATAAAGAGCGTGAACTCAAAGTCGTTGTTTAAAGACATGTAGCAGGAATTCCTTACTTTATTTGCTATATGTGTTGTGCTTGTGTTTGCTTCCTTTCTTGGTGATCGATGAGTCACTCAATTTAGAAATTGAGATCATGAATTCACTCTCAGTGCATGTTCCCTATAGGATTTTATCGCTTTCCTTGATTTCTTGTTGATCGATGAGTCACTCAATTTAAAAATTGAGATCACGACTTTGATCTCAGTGCATGCTCCCTATAGGATTTTATCGCTTTCCTTTATTTCTTGTTGATCGATGAGTTACTCAATTTAGAAATTAAGATCATGACTTCGCTCTCATTGCATGTTCCCCGTAGGATAGTTTTGTTAGAATTTCTTTGGAATGCTAACCTAGATAGGATCTCTTTAGGTGTGCTCTCTTTAGCTTATTGGCTTGCTTGCTTGATTTCATCTTTGTGTGCATGTTTTGAGATGATATACCCTCAGCATGTTCCCTTAGGAGCTCTTGATTCATCTATAGATGACGATTTGAGATAGACATATTTTTAGGTGATAGACCCTTGCTATGCTCCTTTAGGACTTCTTGATTCATCTATAGATGATGATTTGTGATAGAAATTAGGATTGTATCCAAGCATGTCAACATAGGGTAGAGATTTCCCTTCAAAACTCAACTTTAGGATCAATCTGTATGATAACATTAGGGATAGATTTAGGTTATTTTCCCTTAGATGTTTTTCTTTCTTTCGAATCATTGTATTAAGACTAAAACTCTTTTATTGGCAAAAAAAAGTACAAAACATCTAACAACTTCCAAATCCTTCTTCAAGGTAAAAAATATCAACCAATGCAAACTCTTTTGCGCCTTCGGGCTTTCCTTTCAAAATTTTCAGAAAGAACATGTTAATTCACTTTTGTGCTGATGCGTGAGTCTCCAAAGGTCGAGCTACTGCAGAAGGCGAAATTAATATTGTTCATTAAAAAATACAAACCAACAAAAACATGTGAGTCGAACTATGTAACACCCCAGTTTCATTTTTTTGATTTAATTAAATTGGGAAATTATTTTATTAGAATTAATAAAATAAAAAGGAATTATTTATTTTGAAATATGGAAGAAAATAAAAGAAATAAGAAAATACTGAGTTTTAAGTTATTGGGCTTGGATGTTGTTAGTAAAGAGTGGGGGTGCAAAAGAAGTAAAGATATGTTTTGGAACTCAAGTTAGTTTTCTCATTTTTCACGATAAACAGAAGTTGGGAATTTGGGGAAATAGAGCTCTGAAGGTACGAAGAACGAAGAACGAAGAACATCGCTCAAAAAGTTCAAAGCTGCTAATTGATAAGGTAAGGGGGGCTATTACTCAATTTACCTTTGTTTATGGGTTTATGTACGGTTGATTGGGTAATCGTAGGAAAAAACCCCAATTGTTAGAGGTTACTAGGAATTGATACCCTTAGGATTGAACCTTGTTAGAAAAGGGTTAGGTTCCCAATTTTTATGAATCGATTAGGAATTTTAGGTTCCAAATGGTGAATTGGGAGTATATCTGCATGATCGTGAATTTACCTTGGAAGTTGTAGGGATAACCTTAATGTTGTCAGAAATTCCCCAAAGAGGGACGAGTAATCACTGTTAAGGTTACTACAATAAATGTTGGTAATTATGAAATGAATGTGTTGTTTTGAGTTGTGAAGTATCGATGTCGTTATGTACCGAAATGCGCGTTTAACTGACATTTTCCCGCGATTGGCTGTTGTTCTGAGCTGCTGCAGGTTCAGGAAAAATCCTGTACGCGCTCAGCAACACGGACCGTGTTGCACAACACGGGCACCCGTGTTGCTCTTCTGGTTGCTTTTCTGGTTGTACAACACGGGCCGTGTTGCACAACACGGGCACCCGTGTTGCTCCCCCTGTACTGATAAGGATAAAATGTTTTTTTTCTGGAATGTGTTGCCCAACACGGGCCGTGTTGCACAACACGGGCACCCGTGTTGAGTCCCTGTATTGATGAGGAAAAATTGTGTTTTCTGGACGTATTGCCCAACACGGGCCGTGTTGTACAACACGGGCACCCGTGTTGAGGCTACTGTGTTGATTTTTCTGAACTTTGTTTTCAGTGCTGGATTTTGGATTTTTGCCATGCTTTTGAATAATGTTATCGAGCGTGAATTTATGACATGACTTGATATGATTGATGTTTAAATAGTATGCTGAGTGATTACATGCTATCCATATCTTGTTATGATTTGACGTTGTTGATGTGCATGATATGTTGATTGATGTTCATAGTATGCTGAGTGTTACATACTTACATATCATGTTGCATTTGTTAATTCCCATTGTGTGAAATATGCTAATTATTGGGTGATGCTTATGATTTCCTGAATTGATTGTTATGAACGTATAATCAAATGTATAATTGAGATGCTCACCCTTACTGTTGAATATTTCAGATTGAGGAGCTTCGTTCAGGTGCTTGGCGAAGGCTTGTCGTTCTAGTTTACTTTCGTTTTAGTATTGTCCGGGTCATGCTCTGATAGTTGTAACTCCGGGAACGTTTGTTTGTCGAGCTGCTTTAGTCAGACTCGTTTATTTCCTTAGTATTTGGTTATAATATGATGTTGATATATTCCAGGTGTTAATCCCTGATGATTTGAAAATATTATAACTTTGGTTTTATTAAATAGATTATTCCGCTGTGTAAACATGTATGAGTTACTACTAAGATTATGCATGACAGGAATTTGTTGTTTTATTAAAAGAGAATTGTAGCATCCTCGAATTATACATGTACTCTGAAATTATAATTTTAATTATTTGCGAAATTTTCTTTGGGGTTTTAGAGGGTGTTACAATAGTGGTATCAGAGCATAGTCGGTCGTTGCGACCAGAGTCTTGAGTCAGTCATCCCTTTTGTATGCGATTAGTGTAAGATAACACTGTCGATACTGTATTCTAATGAAGAGTATGTTTTAATTCTCAGGAATATGGCTGGAGGAGGTAACAGACGAAATGATGCTGCACTCGCTGAGGCTTTGGGGATGTTAGCTGGTGTACTTGCTGGAAACCCAACTGGAGGCGTGATTGGTGCTGATAGGCAATTGGGAAATTTCCAAAGGAACAATCCTCCGTTGTTCAAAGGTACACATGACCCTGAAGGTGCTCAGAAGTGGCTGAAGGAAATCGAAAGGATTTTCCGTGTGATTGATTGTGCTGAAGATCTGAAAGTCAGATATGGTACACATATGTTGGCAGAAGAAGCCGACGACTGGTGGGTTGCCACAAGGACTGAAATGGTTCAGGATGGAGAGGCACTGACTTGGGCTAACTTCAGAAGGGCTTTTCTGAGGAGGTACTTTCCTGAAGATGTTCGGGGAAGAAAGGAAATTGAGTTTTTGGAGCTTAAGCAGGGCAATCTGACTGTTAGTGAGTATGCTACTAAGTTCACTGAGCTGGCAAAGTATTATGCACACTACAACAATGATGAGGCTGGGGAATTCTCTAAATGTATCAAATTTGAGAATGGTCTCCGAGATGAGATTAAGCAGGGAATCAGGTACCAGCGTATTCGTAGATTTTCTGATCTGGTGGATTGTAGCAGAATCTTGGAAGAAGATATTACCAAGAATAGGTCGTCTCACTCTCGTGGGGCTGTTGACAAAAGAGGAAAGCAACATATGGACCGTGGCAAGCCATATGGTAGAGATAACCAGAGATCAGGCGGTTGGAAAAGGCCTAGTGGGGGAGATTCTAAGGCTCCTATCAGATGCTACAGGTGTGGTGAATTTGGTCATCACATTCGAGATTGCAAGAGTGATGAGAAGAAGTGCTATAAATGTGGAAAGACTGGTCATTTGTCTAGTGATTGCAAAGGGAAGTCTGTCACTTGTTACAATTGTGGCGAAGAAGGTCACATTCGTCCGCAGTGTCCTAAGCCTAGGAAGGATCAGTCAGGTGGAAAAGTGTTCGCTTTGTCTGGATCTGAGACTACTCCAGAGGATCGATTGATTAAAGGTACGTGTTTTATTCATGGCACACCTTTAGTTGCAATTATTGATACTGGTGCAACTCATTCTTTCGTTTCTTTGGATTGTGCTGAGAGGTTGAAACTGGACATATCTGGTATGCAAGGTAGCATGATTGTTGATACTCCTGCATCGGGTTCAGTGACAACTTCACTTGTATGTAGGAATTGTCCTATTGAGATTTTTGGTAGAGGTTTCGGTATGGATTTAGTGTGCCTACCGCTTGAAC